TTTTTTAATACACTCCATCAATAAAAATGTTTCGTCACTTGCTACAGATGCCATGGCATTTGGCCTACCAATTCGGTGACGCCGTATAACTCGCGGATCAGCTGCTTCGCGGGATGTTTTCCTCATTCCCAAAATCAGCTATATAATTCGCCATTGCAAATTTGTATGGCAGGGCGCATGTCTTTTTCTTAAAAAAAAAAAAAAAAAACTCAAAAGGACATGTCAAATTGGAATAAAAAACCCGACGACGAAAAAATTTATCGTTGAACCGAGTTTTTCGCAAGTTGGACAATAACAAGTGAAAAATGCACACGGGCGCACGTGCAAGAGAACAAAAGTATATATCTATCTATATATCTCTCTGTATGAAAACTTCATTTCCTCCTAAAATGAATTTCCTTCCTACTTGGAATTAACTTCATACCAAACAGTGATACCTTATTGGAAACATTTCTCTCGGCTCTTCTTAGATTCAGTATGTACATTTCTATCTGTGCTTGAATAGTAGTAAACTCGTCTGGCAGCCTATTATAATTATAGTAGTTCAAGTGTAGTACCTCCACAAACTGTATCCTCTGCACTGCAGATCTTTACCGACCGAGTCAGGGTGAACGGTAGTGTCATGAATCTTTTGAGTCATTTTTTCCGCTGAAAAATTTATTCCTATTCTTATTGTCTTGACCTAGATTTTTTAAAATTGTTATAGCTTTATTTCACTTTTTTTAATGAGGATGCCGTTTAATTAATTGGTCTACCGAAAAAAGTAGAGTATTGTAAGAAAGTGGTGACGGCGGCACTCGCGTGAGTAGATACCTTTGTTTTATACGGTCAAGTCTTCCAGATTTGCATATAGCTGTTTATCATACAGTTTCATGTTTATTAGGCCCTGCAAATAAGAAAGGAAAAACATATTATAAGTTAACAAGCCATATCAACAGTCTGCTGCGCAGACATTTGTTTGGCTCAGTGACAAGGAATTGTTTGCGTGACCGGCCAAAAGAAAAAAAGAAAACGCCTGCATTGAAGGCTATTTCAAACCTAAGTAAACTTATTAGAAGCGAATGATGCAGGATTGGTTGGACTATTTCTCTTAGTTTAAATGCAAAACGTTTCAGACGATTAAGAACGCAGGCGAATCAATGACGTCTTACAATCAGCCTGTTCTCGTAACTGGCAACAAAACAATCCATCCAGTTAACAACTCTAATTCAGGGGCGTAGCATGAGATTTTGAAGGTGTACGCACGGGAAGAAAAGTTAGAGTGCTGAAGGCACTTCAAACTAGGGTGCTCCTCCAGAAAATTTCTGAATTTAGTTTCTCGGCAATGTCATTTCCAGCCCTTTCCACAGGAAATTTTTCCATAAATAAACACGAAGGGAAATGCAGAAATTAGTTGTTTCCTTTACCCATATAGTTATTGGTATGACAGGTACAGTGTTTACAGAAAAAAATAAAGGGTAAGACAGTGGCGCCATCAAGTGCTGGTTACAAGCAAAGACGCTAATATAATGCAAAAAAATTTATCCGTCATCCCGATTTAATGATAAAAACGCTTTCAAGAAAAAATACAAAAAATTTGCCAGGTTTCAGCTGTACGCATGGGCGTATGTGAGTATATGGAAACTACGCTCCTGTCTATTTCTCCACTTTAGGTATAAGAAACAGAGTCATGGCGAGAGGTCGTAGTTGACTGCCAACGAAGCATAACGAGAACGTTTTAAAGACAGAACCTATAAGGCTACCCTAGGTTTGCAGCTCTAGACTTGCTAATGAAGGTGAACAAATGTGAAGGAGGACAACTGAGGGAGACTCAAAATTGTCCAGGGCGTTTCTTGTTTAAATCGTACCTTATGTTGGTTTTCCATCTTTTTCAGCTTTATTGTCAGGTCAGAAAAAGAAGGCCTTGCGTTAGGGTCTTCCAGCCAGCACAGTTTCATGATTTTGTACCTGTCGCGACACCAAAATATTCACGCTATGATGAGCAACAATTCTTAGGTCCATACCAATAGTTCATTTCCGATTTATCTTAAGCCTCTGATGCAAAGCAAGGCTGAGTGCGAAGCCACTCGCTGTTGCTGCTCTTGACCTGTGGAACAGTCTACCAGACAGCATCCGTTCATGTGACTATTTAAGTACTTTTAAATCTGACCTTCATGCAGGCTTATCTTTTTTAAGAAAAGCGTATCATGTTAATACGGCTATTTTTATCTTAACTTTCACTTATTTACTATTTAATTCTTTATTTATTTGTTTGAAATGTGAAATATTTACTTATTGTGTGGAATGTGGTGTAAGGCGCCTATGGCAGGGCTGGATTGGCGCTATACAAATTTTTAATCATTATTATTTAATTGTTATTATTATTATTATTATTATTATTATTACTATTATTATCATTGATATGAATTTTTTTTTCTTATTCTCATTTATATAAACCTAATTTTCACAAGAAAGGTTTTGCACTTAGTCTCGTTTTGAAAGCGAGAGTTTTTGGAACTCGGAAGTGGCCTATTAGAACAAAAGGAGTTTCAGAAAAGCATAGTCGTCATCTTCGGTTGAAATTTCCAATAAGAGTTTGCAGTTAACTTTAAGTCCAACATTTTCGAGAGTTTGGCTTGACGTTCATCACTAAATTTTCTCTCAAAGAAATACGACACCTTAAAATAGTAGCTAATAGTGGTCACGGCTAAAAGATACTTTTCGACCCCTTTCTTTATTTGCGGAACGCGACCAGTGCCCAAAGCTATGACATGGAAATTGTGACCTCAGCATTCTGGCGTTTCGACTTGCAAAATCATCTCTGGTCAAAAAACCTCACAGGGTCCTTAAGGATCCTATTAGATAACGTTAGTGGTATGGAGAGAGGTATTCAGTACAGGAATAAAACGTTTCGAAAGCCATGAAGCGGTCACAGAATTACTTACAGTTCATCATCAACATGTTGCGGTTTAGGCATCCTGTATCCGTCCTGAAGTAAGCTTACAATCTTCCTGCCATCCATTCGTGGATATGGAGAACCACCTTAAAAGGAAAAAGTGACCAGCTGTTACAATACTTTATTAAAAGGCATGGGTTCTCCCAAAATTTGTTGTAGTTGTCTCTGTTCCTGTTTTTACTGAAAATGGAAGAAACTAACTGTAAGCCCCGGTTCAGACGCCGAACTTTTCTTGAGCCGAACCTAGTTAGAATTAAGGCCGACCCAAATTATTTAGGCCTGCTGAATTGATTCAGACGCCGACCTTAATTGCAGCTAAACTAAGTTCAAAAGGCAAAAAATGCCCATTTCGTTCAAACTGCTTACAAAATACGTTAGTTTCGGTACATGAAAATTCGGTGTCTGAATGAAAGCCGTTCCAGAGTCGCTCCAAAGGCGAAATTCACGGCCGGGCTAAGCGAAAAGAACGGTTGAGCCTTTCCAAATTGAAACAGGCGTTCCTAGTTGATTCAGACACCGAACTTTTCATTAATTCAATGTATTAGATTCGGCTCACGAAAAGTTCGACGTATGAACCGGGCCTTAGTAGCCGTAAGGACAATTTATTTACACCAGGGGAACTAAAAAAGGTCGTGGATTAGTCATGGTGTAAGTACTTGCTGTGATAAGGTGACAGTATTAAATTATCAGCGAAGTTTGGCACGGTAGCGAGAGACAGTTGTCTCCCTGGACGTTAAACATTTCAACCAGAAGTTAATGTGAAAAGGCTTCTCAACTAGTCAATCTTTCATTCAAGGGGTTTAAATCCTGGGTCAAAGATGTGTTCGAATGAATGATAGGCAATATCCCTCACTAGGAGACCTGGAACAAAATAATTTTTCCCCAAAGTAAATCTTGAGGTTTTCTTGTAGCTGAACGTTTAAGTATGGTCACGTGACATGTCACGTGACGACCAAAAATTGAAAATGAAGAAAATTGGCGAATTGGTAGGGAATTTACTTTGTTGGGATAAACAAGTTGGCATTTCTGAAAGAGGATAAACATAACTAACTTTCTACGTTTGGAATGAATGTACGCAAAGTTCAAAATTAATTAATAAAAGTTTTTAATGATCAAAGATTAAATTTGGGCATTTAAAATGATGCTTTTCCTCATAATTATTTCTTGAAGTGCCATGGACAGTCATTCCAAACGTGAAATGTTAGAAATATTTAAAATAAATAAGAAAAAAGTTATTGCTCCATTTCTTTTCTTAAACCGGCCACCTATTGGTCAATAATTAACGACCTTTCGTAAAATGGACATGTGATATATCGCGTGAGTGATTAACACAATATCTATACTTTAAAATGTTAAAGGCAATGGGTTCTTTTTTGTGTTTCAATTTTTGATTTAGCGCCATCATCTACACCGAAGTTGTGGCCAATAAACCATTTTCCACCGATAAACCACTAGACTGTTCACAGTCCCCTATTTTTATCGTGAGATCGTTGAGATATAGAGCGTCTAACCATTAACGGCGAGCATCTTGAATTCAAATGTACCAAGTGGGTCGGCGTCGGGGATTATAGCTCTAGGGGGAGGGGGCGAGAAAAATAGAGGGACTGTAATAACATCACTGCAGCTAGCGTTCACGGAGCGCGTTGTACCAGCAAAGCAGGCGTTTGATTGGTCATTAGACAACAGATGTTAACTTGCGTTGACAACGGGTCTAGTTTAAGTTGCCGACACTGTGAAGTCGATGACAAGTCGTCGTTTCCATACGCTTTCATAATACTACCATAAGGCACATCTTGGGTAAACACACGAAAGATTTTTGGTATTTTGCGGATGAATCAAGTAAGCCAACATGCTTTTGAAGCAGCCCGGCAAGTGAAATGTTGTAACACTGTTTCTGCCAAACCAATTGAAATTTAACGATACGCCGATGCAAAAAAGACGACCTGTCGGAACAGGTGCCTGGCTTTTTATCGGGAGGTTTAACCGTTTTAATCCGTGGTGAAGCAAGCATGCTTAGCGCTTCAATTAAGAAAATGTTTCAACTGTGCATGTCTATTTGGCGATTTTATTTGGGGAAATGCCCAGAAGCCGCGTATAAAGTCGCTGTTTCGAAAGGAGATATTTGTAAACACGCGAAATCGATGCTAAATGTGTCTGGCATGTTTTTTATCGCTAGCGGAGTTTCTTAATTAATGAATGGTAAAAGGCGTGAAATTCCTGTCACGCCTCCTGAACGCGAGCTGCAGTTATGTTATTACAGTCCCTCTATTTTTCTCGCTTTTTCCAAAACCGCCCCAGCCCCCCAAGTAGTTTTGACAGTCATGCAAGATGGCAGCCCGTAACGCAAAGCGCTCGATCTCGACAATCTTACCAAAAAATAGGGGACTGTGGACAGTCTAATAAACTACTAAACTACTTGAGCAGCGATCTGACTCAATGTCACGAATATTTGTTAAAAGAAAGGCTTTCAAAATCCTTGGGTTAGAAAACGGCGTCCCATCATGCAAATCAGCCAACTTCCGATTTTTGTTCACGACGTTTAGGAGGTCAGCGTTCTTGCTGCTGAAGCTCTCCATTATCACATATGGTACCATTGGGGATTTTATCGTTAGCAGCAAGTTGTCCATGACAACATGCACGGAAAACACAAATAATTTATGTACTAATAACGTTTGCATTCTTGAGCTCTAAACTATGTTATAACGTAATACCTTTCTTCTTTCGGAACATTCTGTTTGTTTTTCACAACAAGATAATAATAAGAATAACTTCGAAAACCCTTGTAAGTTAATAGCTATAGGACCTTACCAATTGTAAATATCTCGTAAAGCAAGACTCCATAGCTCCACCTATGAGACCAAAAAGTGACATATCTTCGTTACATTTTAAACAGATAAAAATAAAAAGATTCTGCGGATTCTTAATACACATTTTTTCTCTTCTAGTTTAGAGATGAAGGAGGGATAGTATTGGCGTCAGTAACGATGGTTAACCCAGTGACATTAATCGTCTTGCATGTTTCCTTCTTCTCACGTGACGCGATGAGAAGCTTCTGTTATGCACATATCACATTATTAATGCATATATAGATAGTTTTCTTACACGTCGCTCTTGGTGGTGTATCGTCCGTAGAGCAGGGCTTCATATGCGGTCCACTTCACTGGTAAACGACCCTACATGTCAACAAAGTAAATGACCATAAGACAAATACCAAATGGACGACGAACATGGAATAGCGAGTTGGCGAAAAGTAGGCGGAAGTGAAAGATGATGAAAAAGTAATGTACCACCTTGCTTCCCTGCATCTTAGCAAAAAAGAAAGTCGGTAGAAAAATATACTACGAAATATAAGATCAGAAAGCTATCTTAAAATTTTAAACTAATCGTTACGGCAAAAATGAAACTCAGGCTTCGTTTACACGCAACTTTCTTTTTTACACTTTCTTCCTGTCTTAGTGTGGAAGGACAAAACCGAAGAAAGTTTCACTGCAACTTAGCCGTTCTCCAAGGCGTTTATTAGGGACTTTAAGATACGGCGACTACGGACTACGACTACGGTTACACATGCTATTGCCCATGATCAGAACCACGTGACTGTCATGTTTTTTTTCGTAAAAACGTTTTCAATTCACCTGCTTTAAGTGAGAGGGAAGCGAAATATGCAAGTTGTGTCTAATTCCTGCTTCGATCAGATTTACACTTTTATATACTCGAACCACTTAACGTCGTGACTACATTTTTATCTAAAACTTTAAGCTTATATTTAAATAAGCTTAGCTGTTTATACGCAGAATTCGGATTGACGGCCGATCGAGAACAGAAATAATGCGGGTAATTTACTTTCTCTTCGCAGTTATTTTTAATGTTTGTTCGAAATGATTAGTGTGTCTTTCTACTCGTGTAACCTTTGTTTATGCGAGTTTTTATATCGCATTTTCTGAATGAAAATGATATAAACATCTTTGAGATCATCGAAACTCGGCATTTCGACACTTCAAGCTACATCAGTAATCGGAGAAGTCCATCTTCTTAATTTAATAAATGAACTATTACTATTTCAGTTTATTTTTTTTCATATTTCACATAGGTATTCATGGGCGAAAAAATAAAAACTGTGTAGCCAAAACTTTGTTCACCAATTTTACTCGACGTAATTGCTTCCCCAAGTATGGAAGAATTTGTTCATTATTCTTAAGATAAGATTACATGCAAAATACTTGCATTTTTGTGAACTGAACATGAAAACAATAACATTTTTGCGTGTTGTTTCCCACTCCGCCGTTTCTCTCGTAGTCTTGTGTCTGTATGCAATCTTAACGTTCTATATTTGCACGACTCAACCCAGTGCTACAAACACAGGACAACGCTCGTCCAACAGTAGTTCGTAGTCCGTAGTCCGTTGTCGCCGTATCTTAAACTCCCTATTAAGTATAAAGTTTCTAAACTTCTTTTATATGCAGGTGAATTAAAAATTTACACTTTGGCAAAAGACGTCTTTATATATTACCACATTAAGACAACCATAATCCCTTGAAATATGCAATTTAATCCCACGTGCACGTTTTGGTGACCGACCAAATAGTTTTTTATCCTTTATTAGGGTTGTCAAATGTTTTATAATTTTAACACACACTGCCTTAACTTCGTGGGCTATAGTTTTGGGGGCAACTCTTAAAGCATGTAACCGAAAAAGCAAGGACATAATAGACAAAGCCTTACGTATTTTCCTCCAGTTAACGGCAAGGGATTGCCTGCCAGTCCTATACTCTAGGTCAGTTTCCGATATAATACATACCTTTGTTTTCCGTTCATAAATGTTTTCCTGTTGCACATCTCTCGCCATTCCAAAGTCAGTCACTTTACAAGTTTCATTTTCTCCAACCAGAACATTTCGAGCGGCAAGGTCTCGATGAATAATCTGCGTGACATTTCATTTCACACGAGCTTAGAACCTTGCAAGTCACATGAACCTGTTAAGACGTTCAGAGCCTTCTGTCCCAGTTTGATACTGTTACATTTCAGTGAATTTTGGTCTCATTTTTCTAATATTTGACACCAAAAGGATACAAGAGCAAGGGCTCTGTCAGTTTCACGCGTGAAGGTCACGTGACCAATGCTTCCTTTAAACAATGAGTTGGAATCTTGCTGATGCCAAAAAATTGTTAGAGCACACAAAATTTATCTTACACCCGAAATTTGAGAGGAAACGCACTTAAGGGAGATATTTTATGGCGCTTTGATTTTTCAGCAAAGTAGTATGATTTGTATTGGCCGTCATGTTGGAGGGCATGCTTTTGCCCTCCAACAAGGCGGCCAAAACTACTTTTAGCTTATATCTTGTTCAACGTTTCATAGTTACACTCAGATGTGCTGTAAACGTTATCACATCATCTTTTCAACATTTTCCTTGAAGTTTAAGTGCAAAATTTGTGTTCAGAGAGAGGTAATTCATAATTTTA